AGATGGCCGTTAACACGAGAGCACGTGAATAATATGCAACGGTGAACGGAACAGAACCACACACAACAAAACGTAAACAAAACGCGACTACCGTTGGCGGCGGCGTACGCGTCGTTGCCCGGACCAGGGCGACGGACCCGTCAGTGCTGCCAACAACGCGAGTGACCGAGCGCGGTCAGTTATCATACCCATGTCCAAGACCGGCGGTAATCAATTTTGGACAAAAGGATCGAACAATTGGTATATGGTAACTAAAGTAGGAAAATGTAGTTCTGTGATTGAACATCATGAAGTCGTGTGAACATTGCATCTATTGTGGTGCTAGATTTTGTCGTAGGAATCGTTGGATCATTATTGATTGTTAACTGGAGTTTTTCGCGCAGGAAAATTTTTAATGGTTCCAAGTCTTTGGAGTCTTTTTTTTTTACATTACAAAATGACAACTAAGGGTGGTACAGATTTCCCTCATTTCACCCCTCAGTTGCCCTCATTTATTGATAAAATTACAAATCGTCTAGTGAGTCAGCTTTGGGACAATCCCCCTCAGCCGCGCTCTTACATTCGTTCTCACAATGCTCTGAGAGGCTCTGCCACCTCTATTTTTGGCAGTTTGCCTATAAATTGGCTATAATAAATTCTTATTTTTATTTTTTTCCCTGTAGTAATCTAAATTACGGTTAAATCGGCATTGATTGTCTCCTCCTTTCCTCAAATTCTTTCTTTTTCATGACGTTGACCATGAAGTCTTCTATTGCAGTTTATCATTCTTTTGATTTCACCATCAGTTCGATTAAATTGTCTTCGTTGATGTCGTCTACGTCGATTTGATACCTCAATTCTCTTCGAATGGATTCGAAAGCGTCTTAGATAAACAGGATGTGATGTGCATTGTCTTCTTTTTGACCACAGAACCAACATTCTGGTGATTCCAGTTTTTTGTATTTATGTAAATAGATGTAAATAGATGTAATATAATAAATGCAAAACATCCGTGTCCAGTAAGGGCTCGCGTAACGTGGTAGTTTACATCACCATGCTTGCGGCTTAGCCAATTGTGGATTTCTGGAATTATTGTCTTTGTCCATTCTCCTTTCCCTTTCTGCCATCTGTCTTGCCACTTTGCTTGGAATTCTCACTTGGATGTTTCTCTAGCTTCTGTCGTATTTCTTCCTTCTTTTCCAGCATTATAGTTTTCCATTCTATCCATTGCTTGTAGATCTATAGGAGGTATTCCTGATAATATGTTAAGGGCGTCGCTTACAACTGTTCTGTATGTCGATGTTACCCTAAGCATTATGCTTCTTTGACTTTTTTTGAGATTTTTCCGTCCTCCAAGGGTCATCTTGTCAGCCCATACTTGGCATCCATAGAGTGTTTGCGAAGTTATGACAGTCGCTAAAAGTCTTCTTTTCCTTGCCTTAGACGCTCCTACGTTAGGCATAATGCGTCCCAAACTTCTCATCGTTGTTGTCGCTTTGATGGCTGCTATTTTTGCGTGTACTGAAAAGTTCAGTTCGGGATCTAAGTGAACTCCAAGGTACTTTATACTTTTTTTTGACTATATCCTGATCCCTCTTAGCGATATTGCTTAAGTGTTTTGCATCGTACGGTTGTTAAACACTATATAGTCTCTGATTTTTCAATCGCTACTTCTAAGCCTACCTCTTGAAGCCATAGTATCGTGAATTCAGCAGCTGCCTCTAATAGTTGTTCGTTAACATATATTTCTTTCGCTGTTGCGACTAATGCCAAGTCGTCTGCAAATGTTAGAACTTCGACTCCTATTGGCATGGTTACTCTTAATAGTCCATCGTACAATAGGTTCAACATGGTGTGTCCAAGGACTGAGCTCTGTGGTACTCCACTCGTAAGACTTATGGTCTATTCTGCAACTCCTGTCCAGTAGCTTAATTGTCTGTCTGCAAAGTAGCTTTCTATTATACGGTTGAGGCATGGAGGTATGCTCTTTTTTGACACGGATTCTAATATTCTGCCCCAAGGTTCAGAATTAAAAGCATTTCTAACATCTATGGTAAGCATTCCAGCGTAGTTTTTTTCTTCCTTTATTCCTTACGATGTCATTTAGCTTGCTCAGTGCATCGATAGTTGACTTCCCTTTGCGGAACCCGTATTGGCAGTGGGTAAACCCGTCTGTATCTTCCAAGTATTCTCTCAGTCTGTTATCCACGATTTTTTCTAGAAGTTTTCCTGTAGCGTTGAGCATACATAAGGGACTGTATGACGAATGGTTTTCCAGTGGTTTTTTTCCTTTTCTTATGAGTCTAGTACTCAATACTACAATACTATCTATCCTTCCTGGTGATTCTATTTCTGGTATTGGCAGGTTTTTGAACAGTTTTCCCATGGCTAACCGATATGGTAAGTCCCATGGGTCGCTTTCCACTTGATTGCAGAGTGACTTCCAACAGCGTTCTTTCGACTGTTTGATCAATTTCACTAGTTGGCGTTTAGATGTTTTGGCTTCCAATTGTTCAACCATGCACGCTTCAGCTCCTTCTTTTCTCCTTTTACGCTGGTATTTCCTCCTTAGGTGATTGCTGGTTTTTCTAAGCTCTGCTATTTCTCTTGTCCACCAGTACACCGTTTTTCGATATCCTACCATAAGTTATTTCATTGATGCATAGCATATTTTCTCCAATACATTTGCCAGGTTATTCGCGCTGTCTTCTGCTATTTTTTGGCCATGTGACGGGTGATATATTGCCTATCATTTCTGCAACTTTTGATTTATCCATGGTGTTTTTGTTCTAGCCTGTTGGTGTGGCGACATTGTTCTGTGTTGTTGATATGTCAAAGGTAATTTAATTGTGAAGGCTAAGGGAATTTTCACTGCTGCTGTTCGTTCAGTTGCCGCTGTTATGTCGATGTATGAAGTTGATCCGTCCCTTTCGAACGTAGGTCTTAGTCCGTCATTGCATACTATCATATTTAGGGAGTTTATCATCTCTGTMAACTTTTCTCCTCTAGTATCGTTGATTGAGAATCCCCACGCCGCGTGTTTTGCATTAAAATCACCAGCAATAATTACCTCGCCTCCTTTCCTTCGGATGCTGTTATACAGTCTATCAAGAAAATCGGTGTACTCTTCTATTGTGGAATTTGGTGACCAGTAGCAGGAATATATATTTATGACTATTATTTTTGCCCATACGTACCCGTTTTCTGTTTTTCCCTCTTTATCTACGCTAATCCACTGTAATTTATAATTGCTGCTCTCTTGCTTGTGTCTTCTAATTAAGGTCTCTCTTGTACTGCTCCGAGACTAGCAGTATGTATGTACCGTGTTGGGCCGCGGTTGCATATAATAGACTATGTGACTCATGGCATGTAGCGGTGTTTGTTTGTATGAAGTTGATCATTTCAGAAGCTCCGGAGATCGCCCTGGTCCGCTTTTTGCTTTCTTTTGCATCACTTAATTTGAATTTTTTTTGTTTGGTTTTTTTTCTCTGGGTTTTTTTTCAAACACCGCGGATACAGTGTCTGGTACCTTGCAGTTTGCTGCGAAGTGGCCTTTGTCTCCACACTTTCAACAGCACTTTGTACGGTTTGGGCCCGGGCACGTTTTAGATTCATCTCCAAATGCCAGGCATTTGTAGCATCTCTCGTTCTTTCCTCGGAATTGAATTCTGCAACTTACTAGCCCTATTGTTAAGTGTTTTTTTTCTCTGCTAGGGAACCAGCGTAATGATTTGGTAATAACACTAGCGCCGTCTGTGTGCCAAACCTGTTTCTGAGGCTGATTACATTCATACTAAGCCCCTTTTCAGACTCGCATTTTGTGATATTTCGTCTTAAATTTCCTTTTTGGTCGACCATTCATCGATGTCCCTGATTTCTATCAGTACTTTTATTTCAACTACTTTAGCGTCCGTTCCAGCTGTCTTGGTTACGTCTTCTATGACCCCTTCCATGGTTTTTTGGCCTCCTCGTACTTGTTCTAGTATACCTCCCTTTTTTGTTGCTCGTATCTTTGTGATGTTGTCTTGTACTCTGTTTTTGTCTGTTCCTGTCTTTATACGTTTAATTGTGTCGGAAATAGTGTGCGGTCCCGAGGCTATTACGAATGTGGTTGGCTTCTTTCGTCTACGTTTTAGTTCATCGGTCATTTCCTTGGACATAGGTCTTGAGTCCAATTTCTTCTCCCTGTCTTGGTTACTTTCATCTGTCTTAGTCGAGTTTGAGGTTTCCTCTACCGAGATGTTTCCATTTGGTTTCATGTCCTCTCCCCTCAAATTTTTTCCAGTAACCATTGCCCAAGTCATTGGTTCACTCCGTTGTTGCATTTCACCTATCGTTTCCTGCATTTTTAATAACTGTGCAATAGTGTCGTTTGAAGCCTTTTGGAGGCTTTTTATTGCTTCTTGTGTTTGGTAGTGTTGTTCTGTAAGTACCCGTTGTTGTGCTTGCGATTGCTGCTGTAACTGTTGCATATGCTGTTGCGTCTTTATTGTTCGGTCACGGGGAGGGGGGGGGACTTGTCCATGAGTTCCATGTGTTTCATCATCAATCTGACTGAAATTCCTAGCGATCTTGAATTATCTTTCACGTCTTTCTTTGTGTTAGTTGCTCCCGCCATAGCCTCCTCTAATTTTGTTAAATCTTCCATTGTCCTGTCAACGGATTTGGTGGAAGAGTCTTTGGAGTCAAACCTAACATTAAAGTCCCCACTTAAAATCATCTGTAATTTATGCCTTCCGGTGCCAAGTAATGCTGCACCATCAGGTGTATATGAAAGCAACCATGTATGTATGAATTGGATTATATCTGTTATGTTATAATTTGGTGAAATGTAGACTGCTACAATAATTATAAGTTTTCCATTTGGCCTTTTACACTCAGCGATACATATATCACCAATTCCTGTTGAAATTTCTGCAGACACATCCGACGATTGTCCTCTTATCAAGTAAATAGCAGGTGTGACAAGGTGTACTGTGTCTTTAGTATTATGATAAATAGCTACTCCTCCATGAGATACATCATAATTTTTATCGATATGAACCAATTTACCAATAGAACCGTTTGCCAAACCATCCGAAACATCAATATTATTCGTCGTTATTAAGTATAAAATTCCTTCGACAAATATTGTTTCATATGGTAATCCGTCTGTAGAAAATATGCATGGAAATCAAAAGGATGGTTTAATATAAATAATATATTCATTATTCAGATTTTTTTGGGAAAAATTATTCTTAGGTTTTTAATTGAATATCTCGTCATTTTTCTTACACGCTGATATAGTGATACACCACTACGTTTAAATTACAATAGAGTTAGTATTTATACTAGCTCAATATAGTAAATGGATAGAYGCTTGTATGTTGGCGTCTAATTTCTTTTTTGCTTGTACCTACTAATGCAGTGGATCCCACGGCCGCAGCATCATCCGACACACACTCTGCATTATGATTTTAATTAAATACTTCTATATATGTTATTAATAATAATAATAGTTTATTTTTTTCATAACAGATTAACATAGATTAAAATAATAGGTATACTATTGTATGTGCCCGGTCCAGAGCGGGATTGGTAAATTGGGTCCCATATGACCTTATCTCGGTAAATTGKGTCCCGGAAAAAAAAAGGTAGTAGGTAAGTTGAGTCCCGGATAAAAAAAGGTTGTAGGTAAGTTGGGTCCCTGAAAAAAATATATAAATTAAAATATATGTGGTTTTTATAATATTATGTTCTAAATAAATAATATACTATGGTATAAATGATTAAAAAATTGTGTACCGGGGAAAAAAATACGCTAAATGATATAGTACGTCAAATTTTACAAAAAATATTTAAAAATATTATGCTTTAGGTAAAAACTTAAATGATAAACATTTAACAAATTCTAATCGAGTTATTATATTATTAGTATATTTCATCATTTGTTCTCTTAAGTATTTTTCTTTACCGAGCGTGATTTT